GTGGACATTGCACCCCTGTTCCAAAATGTGTGGATTTAGGAAGGATTGTGTTGATTTCAGCCTTATTTTTCCATGGATAAATGTATGCTTTAAAAAGGACATTGCCTTAATAAGGCAGGGCATGCCACTAAACTCAGCTAACCAATTTACAGATCCACACATGTGGCTTGGCTTTGATTGCAAGAGAGAATTTTTATCACAAATAAATCCCATTGATATCAATGGAAGCCAGATAATTACCAGAAGGTAGGATTTCAAACAGACAAGCATTCCAGCAAAAAAAAAAAAAAAAAATCTACATGTGCAAATACAAACCATATTTTAAAGGAAATTAATATCATTCCTTCTTTTAGTTTATCTAAAAAATATTTAGCCACTCTTTCTTGTGTGACAGATTTTCAAAAAGAAAATGAAAATTACTTAGAGTTATTTTCACCTTTCTTGCCCAGAGATTCATTCAACACCACAATAACAACAACAGCCACGTAATGGGGAACAGCCTTTTTGAGAGTTCATCCAGAGGGAAAACTGACTTGGTAGTGGTTATCTTTTTGACAACTTGATACTTTTAACAGTAAAGAAGATGCACTGCTCATATTAATTCTATTTATGATTTATGAAATATAGGCAGAGACCATAAATTTGGAAGCAGGTGGCTTCAGATTCCAGAGTTTTTCTTCTTCTTTTCTCTAACTCACTTCCTCTAAACTGAGTCCTGAAATCTCAATTTGCCCATTGCATAAATATAAAGCCCAATTTAACTAGCATACAATGCTGCTTTCCGTGATTTTTTTCATGAGTCTTGGAAAAAATAAGTGAGTAACACCTCCTTCTTCTGAAAAATGGAAAAGGAAGGAAATGAAATATCCACCTACGTTTGGCATTGTTGCTTTTTAGGTTGTTTTTAGTCTAATTTCAGAAATATGCCTAACAATTCCATTAGGCTGATCATTATAGTCTTCTTCATTTCTTTAAAGGTTGGGTGCCTGAAGTCAGTATGGGTGGCATCCATTGGCCTTTACAGATTTCAGATCCCTTCAATTCATTGATGACTCCAGCAAGGGGGTTGAAATGTGAGCTTGTAGTTTCACTGGTCCAAATCCTTTAGCTCCGGTCAGTTGTGGAACTGTTTGTTTTCAGCTGTTTACACACAAACTACCCTAATCTCCTAGACCTAGACAAACATCTTGGCAAGATGAAAATAGAATGTTTTACAGAATGGTCCCAAAAAATGCAATCACACCCTGGTTAATGTTTGAGACTCATTGTTAAGACTTTAAAATGTAGCCACTAAACACAATGCACACCAAAGTAGTTTAGTTGCTCCAGAATTGACCATTATCTTTTATAGTCAAGAATCAACTGCACATTATTAGTTTTACTCCATTGGGTTTGACGAGGCAATTTGCTCTTTGCCTTGCCTTGGCCTTGTTAGTGATTCCCCAAAAACAAAAGTCTCACAGAAGAATTCAGGCACTTCTCACCCGATCCAAAGCCTAAGTCAATGTGCCCCTTATCCCCTTTTATCGTTGACCTCTCTGGGCTTCGGATCAGTCCCAAAGTGCGTTGACCATCAAAGACATGCATTTGGCTCCCAAAACATGCCATAATAAAAACAACATGAATGTCTGGTTTCGGTTGCCCTGTACTTTGAATTAAAGGGCCCCACAACTCTCATAAATGCAATTCCAAAATATGCTGTGAAGTATCACAGCCCTGGAGAAAAGAAAGGGGTTCCATCCTTACCCGTTTCTCTTCTTGCTGCTTTTTCTTGAGCCTCACATGGTTGAAGCTTTAAAGGCAGACATGTTGAACTGGGCCAAAGATCTGGTTGATCTCCAGAATCTTGGGAAATGATGTATTCCTAACAAGACGAGACCCAGATTGTAGTGGAGCAATGGCAGCTAGAATTACCATCTTTTTCTGGGGATATGTATTCTTCTAATATATCTGGATGCTAAGTCTCTTCCCCGGCTGGGCTGTTTCTCTTTCTCATTCTTTTTTTGCCTGCTGAATATCACCTTCGCTCTGCGATAAATTATGTCTTAGGTTAATAATCCAGAAAACTCCAAAGTCTCTAGAATTTTGCTCATTTTCTTTAGTTTGGAAATGATAGGACAGATGCTGATGCTGATGCTGTTGTCTTCACCCAGCAGTTCTCCCTTTGCAACTACTGTAGGTGTTTGCAGTTAATGAGAGCCACAATCATGAGATGAGCCTAAACGTTAAACTTGAAAACCATTTTTGCATCTCATTTCTGTTGGCTTTGACAAAGAGAAGAGAAACAGGCTATTCAGGTCAAAGAAGATTATTTATATATTTCTTCTTATGACTTCTCTCAGTGGAACCAGGTCTTGGGAAGGAGAAAAACTGGATTGTGGTTGAGTCGCATTGCAGTATTTCTGTCCAAGGCTTCGCTCACCAGTACTAGTTTTCACACACACTAACCAACAAAACAGTTGTCTCTATAGTATTAATTTTGGAAGAAATGATACTGCTCTAAATATTTGATAATGCTCCTTTAACATTAACAGCCTGTAAATGTAAGGAGAGGCTGGAGAAATATAAACAATTTTCCCTCAAGGTGTGGGGATGAATTGAAAAGAGAGAGAAGTATTTCTCCTTTTTGCTGAGTTGCTCTTCCTGCATAGCTTCCATGGTTCAGTTCTGCCGGAAGCCATCTGAGGCTGAAGCCCGGGGTGCAGTTCTTGGATGTAATGGTGGGAGAGAAAGAAGTTAGTGGAGAAGAGACCGGCCTCGGTGAGGGTTGGGGGAGGAGGATTTTGTGTCTTTCCATTAAGATTTTATGGTCCTGCAAAGTTGCAACAACCCCCTTCCGGGCTTCCCCTGCACAGACCAGGAACCTGAGGAGGGTTAGCCACTTCTACTCGCCTTCGAAAAACTCTCCTCGGCTCCCCGCCTTCTTCTTTCCACTTCAAAGGGACCTGTCTGCGGGGAAGCTCTTAGGAGGAGAAGGCGATTTCCTTCCCGTGGCCCAGACAAGCTTCCCAGTAGGCAGCTCCGAGAGAGCCGTTGGCAGATCACCACTCTTGTCCGCAGGGTTGGGAAAGGCGAGTCATTCGGGGAGCTTTGTGTCTCCTATGAAAGCCAAGGGTAAGTGCTGCAGATGAGAGGGCAAGGGTAAGGAAGCCTCCGGGCAAAGCTTGGGCAGAAGGAAACCCCTCGCCTGGCCTCCTCGATATCCTTGGCATTCCTAGCATTTTGGAGGGCGTATTAAGCGGAGGCGTGATGGAGTTAGAGATTGGCTGCACAATATTGAATGGTTCAAAAGAATATTTCTTACTCGCTTGGGACCTGAAACAGGAGATCAGTTAGTGCTACCAGCTGGGCCGGCTTGGAGCACGAAGAACTAAAACACAACCTTTTCATGTTAAACAAGGAGAAGAACATTTAAAAGGAAGGCTCACAAAAGGTGCCAAGAGCGCTTGAGTGTTGCTCTTGCTTCAGACGTTGTTTGCATGGCTTCCAGAACCATAAGAAGCCAAACAAACCAGGAGGCAGGGAGTCTTCTCGGTGCTTCTTCATTATAAAATCCATCTCCCTTGTCTGTTGGTCTGTCTCCCTCCCTCCCTCTCTTGTCTGCTGGCTGTCGACTCCCTCCATCACTGTTATAGATTGACTGTGTTATCTAGCAGTTTTACTTCGGACATTTCTGGATGAAAAGAGGTCTTACGTTGAGAGAGAGAGAGAGAGAGAGAGAGAGAGAAAGAGAGAGAGAGAGAGAGGCGTCTCCCTTATCTAAATGCAGATATTTAGAAAGAATTGTACATTGTTTCTATAATTCCGGGTTTGTACTCTTGAAAAAGCCTTAATCTGAGCGGGGATGTTTTACCAGATTTTGCTTCTTTTTATTTCCATGAAAAAGGTTTTAGTTTAACAAGCTTGTGACTTGGACTTCTGGTTTAATGGACAATTACGGATCGAATCGCCTTAAAAAAAATATCCTAAACTCTTCACCTTGCTGCTGATATGGTAATTCTATACTGGGTGCTTGTACTGTGGTATTTTTGTTAAGTGGGAGTAAACCGCCTCTCCTATGCAGAGGTATTGAGAAGTAACACCTTTTACTTCTTAATGTAGTGTGCTGGACTCACACAGAAAGAGAGTAAAACACAGGTGCGAGAATTGTCCGCATTGCTGCAGCTGGTATCTTAAAAAGCCGGGGGTGGGGGTGGGGGGGAGCTGCCGTCTCGCTATCAGTAAGTCTTGGATGCTAATAAGAAGCTCAGGTCGGGCTTCCAACTTGCAGGGGCCAGTCTGAGATGACCACCGACCTAGCCTAACGCCTAGGCGAGCCACGAGAGGTACCCGAGGCTGGCAAAAGTTGATGAGGTTGTCTGAGCTTCAGAAACATCAAGGCAGCCACGAGTTGTGCAAAGAGCGGGATGAGAAGAGGCTGAACAGTTCCCTTACAGGTGGCTTGTTGATAGACAGGACGCAATAGTTTGCTCGTGCCTTTGCTCTTTTATATTAGTGCATATGCTAATGGACCAGAACGCGTTAAATTATGAGTCTCATTAAAAACCGGGCAGTGTTTTCTACTGTTTTCCTCCTCCCGCCACTTCGCCTTTCGTTATATAACCCCATGCCTACAATTCTCCCACTGAGAACTAGCAAAGATAGGCACGTGAAGACGTGGCCTACTGCGCGTGGAATACCCCCAGACATGCTTTGTGCATACATTCACATATGCATGCATGCATGCGAGGGCACAACACACACACACATCACACAACACCTTCACTTTATTTTCAAATCTATAGATATACATATCCATCCATGCACCGTCCGTGCACAAGTACAAGTACACGCACGCACGCACGCACACGCACCATTCAGACGTGGGCAGGAGATCAGCTCGCCGCCTACGAAACCAAACTGGGAGGGGTTGTGAATGAGGGCTGGGTTTCCATTGGCTGCACGCAGTCGCCGTGGCGTGGGGGTATCTCTAATCATATTCAGCATGTTTTGCACAAGAAATGTCAGCCAGGAAGGGTTCTCTGCTCTCTTCGCCAAATTATTCCAAGGAAATGGCATGTTCGGAGACCCCAGCTGCAAACGCCTTTTTGGTGGACTCTTTGATCAGCTCAGCCTCAGGCAGAGGGGAAGGAGGGGGAGGCGGTGGCGGCGGCGGAGTTGCAGTAGGAGGAGGAGGAGGAGGAAGAGGCGGCGGCGGCAGCAGCTACTACCCGAACAACGGCGGTGTCTACCTGCCACAGGCGCCCGATTTGCCGTACGGGTTGCAAAGCTACGGGCTATTCCCGGTCCTGAGCAAATGCAGCGAGGATCTGCCTCCCCCGCCGCCGCCGCCAAGCATGGTTCCCACTCCGCACACTTACATGTCAGGGATGGAGGTCTGGCTAGATCCCCCGAGATCCTGCAGCCTTGAAGAGCCCACAAGCCCACAGGCGACCTCCTGCTCCTTCGCTCCCAGCATTAAAGAGGAGAGCTCCTACTGCCTCTACGACTCGGACAAGGCCCGCAAAGAGGCACCGGCCACCGACCTGTCGCCTTTCCCGAGGCTAAGCGCAGAGATCTGCGCCGTGAATAACGTGGCGGCGGGGGTGCCTGTCCCGGGCTACTTCCGCTTGTCTCAAGCCTATGGCACCGTCAAGAGCGGCAGCTGTTATAGCAGCTCCCACCAACACCACCAACAGCAGGAGCCGCCGCCGCCGCCGCCGCCGCCGCTGCTACACCCAGGGCAAATGGTGGCCGCTTCCCAGTTTGCCCCGCAGCCCCAAGTGAGCTTCGAGTCTTCTCCGCCGTTTCCTCTGGCCGCCTCGTTGCCCGAGCAAGGCAAGAAAGACAGCGAGGATTCTTCCCCACCCAGCACTTTGGCCGGGGATTCGCAGAGAGGAGAGGAAGAAGGGCAGGCTTCTTCTTCTGCCGCAGAAGAGCTGTCGCCGGCCCCCTCGGAGAGCAGTAAGCCTCTCTCCGAGAAAGAAACCCTAGGTAAGGATTCCTCATCCACCAAAGGCGGGGAAGGATTTTAAACCCTTCCCCGTACAAAAAAGAGTTTTTGCCAGGTCAGTCCAACCCCAGGAAGGGCACCTTAGACAAACCTACTCAGCAGCCACACCGATTTTGTGCAAGGATGCAGAGGTACTGTAGATACCAGACTGCCAGGCAAGTCGGCAGATAGCCATAAATTCAGGGAAAAAAAGCTTATCCCAGGGAGAGACAAAAAAAAAGGGCAAAACACACACGCATATCTCTCTTTTTTATTTTGCAACCCTTAATGCGCTGGCGGTGGACAATAGAGCATTCGGGGTGGGGGCAACAAAAAAAAGACCACACCCAAGCCTGTCCTTCGTGGCCCACCGCGGTGCAGAAATGCCTGAACAGATAACAGAGACGTTCATTAAAAGGCCAAAGTAAGCAAAGAAGTCAGCGTCCATAAATAAAACCCTTCAGAACCTAAGTTCTAGTTTACGATCTTGGATGCCTTTACAGACCTCCCCCCCCCCCTCAGAGTATTTAGTTGGGCTGAAATTCTCTCGGGCAGCAGGGTCAGTTTAGACTGCAGACTGTCCCCGCCAGTGTTCCTGCAGGCTTAAGGAGCCTTCCGGGATAAAAATCCAAAGGGCCATTTCTGTGAATGGGAACGGCCTTAAGGGCGCCCTGGGATCCTTCTCCCAGTGCCTTTTATTGCAAAGAAGAAAGTTTGTGCAGGAATGGAACACTAAGTGATAGCAACAGTGAGGTCCTACTAATAGGAATGTTTCCAAACTTTTACAAAGTAGGGCATTTTAATACTGATTGCTCATAATTCTGAAAAGCGATGGCAATAAGTGTACCCATGTTAGTCATATCCAAATACATGCAAGAATATGCTTCTGTACTGAATCTCAGTCCAGAAGGGAAAGATGTTCACCCTCCCTAAAAAAAAGATCTGTAACTCTGCAGATATTAGGGAATGGTCTATCCCTCTTTTTTTAATGTGCCAGGTGGCTAATCATCCCTTGGCAACCCAGGTAAATATAATTAATCTCTGGAAGAGGAATTGATCTTGTCATCCTATGCAGATTTGCCTGTCCTGTTGAATTAAACGGCTTCAGTTCCCAAATATGCAGCTATGGGATTTTATTAGCTAGTTTAGCTAGACTTCGCTGAGTTACAGATTTGTGCTGGGGGAAAAAAACGGTCTCAGAAGGAAAAAGTGTGGAGCAATTTAGCCCTGTACTCATGGGGCTATATTTTCACATCATCTGTCTTTTCACTTAGGAAGAGGGTGGGTTTGTTTGTTTTTTTGTAAAGAGAAATGTTTGAGGGGGGGGCGGAAGGCAATGGCATACCTTGCTGGTGTCAATATCAAAATTTGACCACCTTTTGCTTAGGCAATCTTGAGAGGGAATCAAATCAAGCAGGAAGGTGCTCCTTGTCTCTGGGTGTGGGTAGGGAGGGAAGACCTTAGAAAGGGGCTTTAAAAAGAGGGCTGGGGCCATTGGAAAGTTGCCACAAACTTAAGGTCAGTAAGGAACCTAGCCCTCGAGTATTTCTCCCAGCTCCTTCCTGGTGTCCTTGGTAATGTCCCTGGCTGACTCTTTTTTCCAAACTAGGCGGCCAGAAGGGAGAGAATGCAGCCACCTGGCTCACTGCGAAAAGTGGTAGAAAGAAGCGGTGCCCTTACACCAAGCACCAAACACTGGAGCTGGAGAAAGAGTTTTTGTTCAATATGTACCTGACTCGTGAGCGTCGCCTAGAAATCAGCCGTAGTGTCCACCTCACGGATAGACAAGTTAAAATCTGGTTTCAGAACCGCAGAATGAAGCTGAAGAAAATGAACAGAGAGAATCGGATTCGGGAGCTCACAGCCAACTTCAGCTTCTCCTGATGGACCTATGGACACCTTTGAACCGTCTAAGCAGCCCATACAATCCTGAACCCCACCCCACCCTAGCTCACCCCACCCCATCCAGTCAGGGTTTAACTATTGGCACCTGTGTGGATCTGAAGCTTTCAATCCCACTCTCAGCCTCTCCATTGCTTCTTTGTGGTTGATTTCGTTGGGATGAAGCCATAGCAAGGCAAACCCAGCATTCCTTCTGAACTTCCCTTCTTCTGTTCTCACTTCTGGAGACCCTGGCCCTTGAGAAATAGGATGTCTCAAACACTAGTGCCTATTCTCCTTCCTAACCTACCCCCTTTAAAAAAAAACCATCAAAAAGCAATCAGAAAAGTAACCTAGCCAAAGGAAAGGTGCATTCCCAACCTCTCCGTTAAGCTATGCCACATGTTGCAAACTGGGGTTGAGTGTAGTTTTCAATCATTTAAACATTTAACCACACCACCCCAAACATGGATTGGGTTTGATATTATTATTATTACTACTATTTTCTTGTTTAGACAATGTTAAGCAGCTATTGTGGAAAGAAACAAAAAGTCATATTGTTTAAGAAGCCAAAACTATTCATTTGTTTACTCCTTTATTTTTTCAAATGTTTAATATTTCAGCTTTAAAAGTTTTCTTGGAAAAAGGGGAAAGAGAAAGAGAGAGGAAAAAAGAGGAAAACTGCTCCTGTCCTTTCTTGAAAGATAAGAACAGTTTTATGTTCCTTAATGGTTAAATTATTACATTTCCTAATTGTAGGTAATTTTTGTTTTAGATAAATGGTTCTTAACCATTTGTTCCTTATGTTTGATAAGCACAGACAAAGAAAGATGTGTGAAAGAACATTTATTGAATGGAGAAGGGGCGGGAAACCCCAATTTTGCCTATTCTGTACCTAGAAATGTATGTGTGTATATGTATGTGTGTAAGTGCATATACGCACACTGTACACACACTCTGAAGAATTTCCTGGCTGTATGAGATAGCAAAGAAGAAAACCCTTATTTCCTGATACTGTGAAGTTACATGCATTGAAAAAAAAAATCAAGCATGTAGTACAAAGAGAAGAAAAAAAACCCTATGGAATAGATATGTATAAATGTCTATTATTATTAAAATAATTAATATTATTAAAATACCAATACCGTTGGAAGCAAAGTAGTCTTTTCTTTATTTAGATGCTAGTTTTACTTCTTGCTCTTACCTTAAGTCTTCAATAATATCCTAATGCAGCAATGCACAAAGATGAATCAAACTCAAGACATTGTTCATATTTTATTGGAAGAATAAAAAAAAGATGTGAAATGAGTTTTCATAAAACATCATCAACCAATAATAACAATAACAATAACAACAATAATAATTTTTGTGTCTGCTTATTCTCAGAACTCTACTTTTAAATTTTTGTGAACTTTTACATTAAAGAATAGTTCATTAAGCCACCTATAAATACTTTAGAAATCAACTTGAATGTAGACAGTCTTAATGTGCATGGGCTATATACGAATGATGTAATAAGGCTTGTCAGCTTTTGTTCAGTTTTATGGCTTGCTAACATATCTGGATTGTAGCCATCTTAGAGGAACAAGTAGATTCAGTTGAGCGAGGAGCTGTACAGATGAACCCAACTGAGAACCTTTGAATGTAGAGAATTGGCATTATTGTTATCAGTATTTCACTGAGTATGATTCTCGGTTAATCTAGTAGAGTCTTTGAGCATGAATTCCAAAGCAGAACCTAAAGAATTAAAGGAAAACAACGTGAAAAGGTGAGCAATAAGATTTTGGATCTTAAACTTCACTTGCCTATGTTGCAGATTTTCTGCTATGATTTACCTGGCTGCAGGATGTGACTAGGCAGAAATGCCATCTTAAGATTCTATATAAATCTATACCTATCAAGTCTAAGACTGAAACAATGAAATCAATGAAGAGAGGAGGAGAAAAAGAAGTAAAGAAGGAGGGTGCCGTGAGGTTGATGGAAATAGTACCTAAAGCCAATAATTTCCTCCTCCTCCTCCTCTTCCTCCTCCTCTTCCTCCTCCTTTTTCTCCTAAGAGATTTTAGATCTTTTTTTTTTTAAAAAAAGACTATTTACGGAAAACATTTTAATCACTCAAGGCCTATCTCCTCACTCTTCCTTCACTTCTTTTCACTACACACACTTTATATTCTAAATATTCTGAACGATTAAAAATGGCCAGTCAAATTCCGTAATATAACAAAGAAGTTTAGTAAGTGGAGATGGCGGGCTGTTGGTGGGAGTAGGGGAGGAGAACATAAGGAAGGCTCGGCTTTCGTTACTGGCTTGTATTTATTTATATATTGGGCTGGGGTTTCCCCCTTCTTTCTTTCTTTTTAATTCGCCCCACCACCACCACCACCGGGGCTCTTTTGCTTAAAGGAAAGCGGCCACAGGGAACCCTGTTAATTAGAAAACTGAAAACTGGTCGGTGATTTAGGTAGTTTCTCGTTGTTGAGGCTGAACATTCCTCTCTCTGCAGCACGAAACTGCCTTCATCACCTCAGTTTATAATCATCAAATGGGTGTAATCCCAAACAGACGTTTAAGGAGGATCAAAGCATTGCCTTTAACTACCGAAGGAATCGGGAGGGGGGGAGGAGACACCCCCCCCCCCACGCTGTCTCCTGGAGGCGTCAAGTCCCAACGCCATTGTTTCTTTCTGCGCGCCGAAACGCTGCTTCCAATAAACCGAGGTGGAGGAGGGGGCGTAAAGGGGAAAAAAAAAACAATACAAAACCGCAAGGAAGAGACCTTCAGGGCTAAACAAGATCCGTTGACTTCGGATTTTTATTTCAATTTGAAAGGGGATCCTTTCCACAACTCCGATATTCCTTTCAAGGTCAGGGGCATTAAATAATTATTATGCTTTTTTTCTGTTCGAGGAACCCATTCGAACTGCTTGTCCTCGCAGAGTAATTAATTGTAGCCCTGCCTGCAGCTCTGCTGCGAATGGGACAACGTCTTTTCCACAGCTCTGCCGATTTCAAGCTCTCTCTTATTTAAGGGGAGGGAAAGAAAGAAAATTTGAGAGCAATTTTCAGTGCCGTTTCGTGGAGGGGTGCTCGCGGGAACGCGCGCACCCTTTGATGCCTTCTCCGGCTCTCCCAGATTACTAGCGCGGCCCTTCCATCCACATCCCCCTCCCTTTTGCGTGGTGCTTTCTGCTCGTCTCGCCTTCTCCCCAATTCAGTTCGCCGGGTTTTTTGCCTTTTTTGGGGGGGGCGGGGGGGATGCGGGTAGGAGAATGTGGCGTTCAGGGCGCCTCACCCACGTGCGGGCACACACCGGTCTCGGCAAGGTGGAAGGAACGCGAGAGGGTCCCGAGAGGTGAGAACGCAGGGCTGGCAAGGCCTCGGTTACGATCATTATTGGAATGGGTCCGGGCGCCTGCATTCCAGTGAGGCGGCATAAGCAACAGCGACCTCGCTCGGGCTGAGGCGGCGTGCCCGGCCCGTCGCTGTCCCTTTTTATGTTCGGCAGCCCCGCGAGACGGAAGGAAGGCGCTGCGCCGTCTTGTTTACATCCCGCACACACGTTATTTACCGCTAGTGTAAATGAACAAGACTTCTCTCTTGGGTATCAGGGGGGTGTAGGGGAACGAGCGGGCCGACGTGGGTTTTGCAAGATTAGGACGTTTCTTCGGCTCTGTTTTGTCTCATCCCACTTTTAATTAAAAAATACCTTTCAGATTTCAGACGTCAGTTAAAGGAGGCCTGGAGATGGAAATCAAATTTTTGTGATTTTGTTTTCCCTTTTCTTATTTGAAAGTTGAGCCTTGTGTCTTATGACTTCTTTTAGTGAAAAGCTCACAAGTTTCGCACCAAAAGATTATTGTTTGTTTGCTTGTGACACAGGCATACATTTATAAACATACACACACACACTCACATACTGTATATATAAAATCAGTCCTGACTGATACAAATACCCACATCGAAAAAAAAACACCTTATATATATTTTCCAGATTGGCGGTACATATGTATATATAGATATATAAATATATATAG